AGAATGTTGTATTGTTTAAGTTATGATACCACTGATGCAGCCAATTAAAACTTTAATTTAAAATTGATACTTTGTCTTATTACTAATTATTTGTCAGCTAGATTATTCAATGGTCATGCAAGAAAATGAATTAAATCATATATTAGTGTTATTCAGAATCATAAAGGTGCTTATTACTTATCATAAACATATAAATAAAGACTTCCTTTCCTTCTTGGATTATTTTATCCTATTAAGGATAAAAGTATTAAGGATTAAGTCAAAGCTTTAAGGGCATAGGTTTATTGATTGCGACCTCACCACTCTATCTCCACCTGGCCTCTCAATTCTTCCCTCTCCATCCAACAGAGGGTCTCCTTTCTTTCTCTTCTGAGGTTGCTTTCCTACTTTCAGGGAGGTCGCTAGCATGGTTCTCTACACACTGGCTGTAAGGGTTAAAAGTCTGGGATTGGATCTCCAACTTTCCCTTCTGTGGTTTGATCTCCATCTCCAAACTTGGACAACTTTTTCTGTGATTCCTAGGCCCAAAGAATTGCCTTCTAACCCTTAAAGTTCAGCTTAATAGAACCTATAGCTCTGATTGACTTCTGGGAAATCTTTATGTGTGGTCTTTGGTTGCATTCAGGTGTACTACAAAAGTACAGTTTGATAAACCTCAGGTTTTATGCACTTCCCCATCCTTTCTCCAGGTTGACAGTGAAGAGAAAATGAGGAATTTTCACTTCAGTTTTCAAGGACCCATGATATGTTATATTGAAAGCCAGACAAAATATTGGTAACCTTAATTGTGGTTTATATAAATGAACCAGGATCAGAAACCACAGTGTGAGGTTGGCTAACTTTCCTGAACAACAGTTGCCCCAGTTTAGGACAAAACAACAAACTGCCTGTCCTGGCTGCCCTCTGAAAAAAATTGGTCAACAACAGGAAAATAAATCTGTGTTTTTGGCTTATTTTAAATTAGGTTAGTAGAGAATTCTTTAGTCAGTTTGTCTGTCTGGTTAAATCATATACAACTTATACATATAGACTCAGATTGGTTGTAACTGGAAATTAAGGTTGATCCATGACACAACTTATCTTTCAAGCCGGCGGAAATGTAGAGGCTTTCTGATTTTAAACTAACCACAGTTTCCTATAGTGTTTGAACTCAAAAAATTGAGAGTTTTTTTTAACATAAAGTAAGCCATTATGAAGCCATGTTTTTAGATTCTATCTTTTTCTGAAACCATAAACAAAAATTTCCTGAGATTGAATGTCAGAAGAAATTTAATTTAAAACCAGAAATGTGTGTATCTTATGCCTCCTTATCCTACTCCTTGTGCACAATAGAGGGGAAGGAAGGAATAGGCCAGACTTAGACTTGAGGCAGCTCATTTCTGAATCAGTATATTTCTGAATCAGGCCATATTCCTTGATTCTGTAGTATCAATTTTAATCAAGTACCCTCTGAGCAACTGAATGCTAAATCATATTCTTTTTTTTGCAAATTTCTTAGATATTTTTAAAGTCTGTTCCTTATAGATTCCTGTTTATTATGTTTTCATTTAATGATGTCGTTCCTGCAGTGAACAACAACAATGCAAACAACAACTCTGAATGTTTGCAAGTATTGCTTATTCTGCAGATACACTGGCCTGAATCTACAGACATGCTGGCAGAAAAGGCCTGATGGAAGCTGACTTCCACACACCCCTTTTCTTCTAGGAGCCTGGAAACCCTCTCTTAAGTAAGGGTCAGGGCTGAGGTGGGAAATTGGGTACTCATCCAAGAATTGCCAAGGAGATACATATAAAAGTCAATTCTGCCAGTTCTTATGTTGATGCTTTTCTAGATCCAAGACACATAGTTATCTATCATAGTGTTTTATTTAATGTATACCTTTTTATTTGTGTAAATCTACAGTCATGAGTTTTTACTTCAATTGATTGCTATCTATGTTTACTTGGGGGAATGCCTTATTTATTGTATTTGTATTTCCCTTTAAATATACATGTTTACATAATCACACTTTCAAAATCCACTGCTCAATTGAAAGGTATAGGGTTATTTATTTTTGTAGTTGCAATTTATGGTTTGTCAAATTTTAATTTAGAATCAGCAAAGGAGCTCCCATCCCTGGGCCATGTTGTTAGGCAAAAGAAGCGCACATCTGTTGATATACTTCCGCCAGAATTGAAAGTTTCTGTTCCTCCTGAACCTCCTCTTCCTATTCAAAGAAAAACCATCAAAGATTTCCAGTAAGATAATTATTTTTTGTGAAAGTGTACTACTAAATTAAATTTAATGATGTGTGTTTTTTAAATGTAAATGATTACTCTTGATTGCTGCTTGACTAGGACCTTGGGATTAGTACCCCATTTATGTCAGAAACTGCTGTATACATGTTTCATTTCAAAACAAGCTATTACAGGAGGCTATTGAGTGTTTTACCACATCCTTTTCCAAGAATATACAAAAACTCTTATACAGTTCTATGTACATGTAAATCTATGTTGAAATGAAGTGTTAGAATAAAAATTGCATAAATAGCAGGCTAGAATAATGCATCTTGTTCTGGGTTATGGATTTAATTTTCTGTTGTCGGAGGTATCTCTTGTGTGAGCCAAAATGGTTCATGCAGCAGGTCACTAGAATGTTACCAGTTTCTACTATGGAGTACTGAAACAGAGAAGCTTTTCAGCTAATAAGTGATATAAAAATCAATCAATCAATCAATCAACTAAAATACTGCTGCATATAGGGGACAGGAACCTAATAACTTTGCCAAAACAGCCTCATCGCCAAGGTAAAAGAGGGCACTTTTTTGGTGCTGCTCAGCTCTGGCTGCATTGCCTACCAAGCCATCCATGGACCATAACTTGAGTGGACCAATGCTGGGCACTTCTACCCATTCAGCAATTTTCATGTTAATGTAGCATCCCCTCTTTCTTTCCTACCATTTTGTGTAGATCACTAAAAAGATAATCTTCCTGTCCTTTCCCACATAGTAGCACTCAGTTGCAGAAGATGATAATTTTTCAACAAATAACTGCATGGGCTACTATTGTAGCTAAAGCAAGAACTATAGGACTGGCAATTGGCTAGAAAGGAGAGGGCTTTTTCTCTTGTAGCACCCCAGTTTTGGAATGTCCTTGCTAGAGAGTTTCACCTGGCATCTATGTTACAAGTTTGTCAGGGACAGATAAAGACCTTCTTATTCTCCGGGGATCTTAATCCTTTCTTGTTTTTAAAGCTATTATTGTATTTTTAAACTTTTATGCTGGTGGTAGTTTTTACTTTGGTTTTATAGTGTAGTTTTAAACTTGTTTACATTTTAAATTATTATTTATGCTGTATTTTATGGTTTTAATTGTTGGCAGCCTCCCAGAGAACGTCAGCATTGGGGCAGTACAGAAATACTGTATGTATCAGCATTTAGGACAATTCACATATGAGATCAATATTTTAGGCTGTTTTTCTGGTGTTTGTTGTATGTTGGTCATATAAGATGACTCCCAATTTTTTCTTGCCTATTTTTGGTTTCAGGGGTTGTCTTATGAGCTGATATGAATGGTATATTGAAATAGGAGTCTCTATGACTGAATATATTGTTATAGACTAGAATAGAATTCAAAGTATAATTTTGGGAAGAAATCCTTATCATTCTAAAATTAATCTGGGTCTCTATTTTCTAGTAGTACTATGTCCTACTAGAAGATAAGCTGAATTTAATGAAACTAAAATGTTTAATTAAAAATGCTGAATTTAATAAGCTGATATCAGAAGATAAGCTGAATTTAATGAAACTAAAATGTGAAAACTGGACTTTAAAGTTTTCTGTTGTTTTGGTAAAAGTTTGATGTGTACCTGTTTATCGGAAGAATATGAACAGGTAATCTCATGTCAAATCAGAAACAGCCTGTGAATATTCTTTCAATTATACAAGCAGTTTTCTGCTTGGCATTGTTAGACCTCCCTGCCCCCTTGAAAATCATCTAAGTGCCCTTAGATGCATGGAATCAGATGTGCAAATCTTTAGATCTCAGCTTCAGCATCCGCATTATTTTATGTCTAATGGTAAACCAAAGGTATGTAAAGATAATGGATTGCAATTGTTGTTTTTATTAATGTTATAAATATCATTATACTTATTTGAATGAAATTAAGTGTGGTTGAGATGCTATTTAGTATTTATAATTCTGGATCGGGTTGGTGCTAGATTTGAGAACCAAAAGGAAAACAACATGAATTTGCATACACTAATTTATATTCTCTCTGAATTCTATATGTGTGTGTCTTTATAGGACCCTCTGTTAAGGACACTCCTATATGGACAATAGGCAAGAAGGCATTTGATTTCAAAACAAACAAACAAACTCAGGCAGAAAGATTCAAGTGAGGAGAGCAGTAGGTGAAGCACATGTGAGGAAAGACTAATCTAGGAGCTCAGATGCAACAGAGATAATCAGCACCTCTGTAAAATCAGCAAGGTAGTGAGGCAGATGGTCTCCCAGCGATTTTCAAATAAAAGATTTAGGGATCCAGCTCTTATGGGTTATCCCCAAGTGACCTCTGTTCTGGATGGCTAAATGTATCAAAAGCTGTTTGTGTAAAATGCTGTAGTCACTGTATAAATTGGTTACATTTTGTCTTTTTGTTTAGGGAAGATGTGGAAAAGGCTAAGTTATCAGGAGACTGGAAAATAGTATATGATTTTTATTCAACTACCTTTGATTCTTTTCTGGAAGTCAATACTGCATTTAAGGTAAAAAAAAATACTGCCAGCAATGACATGCAATTTAAACAGCAACTAGTCATAATGCAAAGATGTCTTTTATTTGCTATAGAATTCAGTGAGCAAAAAACCTTGCCAGTTGAAGACCAAAGTTAATATGATTTCATGTGCTTTCTTAAAAGGCATGCCCGGTGATGAATAATGATGCTTTTATAATGTCACAAATTGAGTTTGCTTACAAATTACCTTCCATGTAGCCAAACTTTACCTTGGTCTTTCAGGCCCAAATCCAGGTGAGGATGGATACCCTACATTCTCCTTGTCGGTTATTGCTTTATGACGCAGATAAACCTTACCACATTCCTACAGGAATCCTCCAGTGATGTGATCCATGCCCGTTGATTGCACAATTTTGACATTGCTTAACAACTACTGACCATAGAGCACATTTGTTAAAACATCTGCCTTAAGTTCCTAGCTTTCTGGAGCTTGAACCAAAATGAGATTTCTGATCTAAAAACATCAAGGTGTTATTTTTGTTGAATTTCCCTGGTTTGTAAAAGGAAATATATTATTACAGTATTATTACCCACCCACCCCCAAACACAAGCTAACAAACAGAACACAAGCAAGTAATTGTGCAACTGTGTACAATTGAATAGATATGTCCTTGTATATTCAGAATAGCTTATTTCTGAGTAAGCCTGCATCGGATTCCAACATAGCTTTTTCTTTTTCTTCTTTCCCTTCCAAAATTACCTTACTCTTATCTCAGTTTACAGTTTCCTGCCCCCTCTGTCAGAATGCTAACAGAACAGTATAATTCAAAACCCTGCAGTACTGCCTGCATTTTTGCTTCAAAGTGAGCATGGATGACATAACTTTGCCAACAGTTGCTACCATAGGCTTTCATGGGGCATAAAGCCTTGATAACTTTAAAACCTTCATTTAGTATTTCAACAAATCAATGAAAGGCATGCCTTTTCAACAAGTCTTAGTAAAGTACACCAGTAGTTTTCCCCATAATTTGAAAGAATTTTATTTTTTTATTTGATTTGTATGCTGATCAGCCATTGCCCATTAGCCATAAATCTCTCTGGGCAGCTCACAACATAGATGATATGCTGAACTTCTACTTGGAGTAAAAAGTATACTTGTGTCGATTTTCAGAAATCTGTATCAGATCATTAGTATTTTTGCATGATTGTGTGCATTTTATATGCTATAGATACCATATAGTTAGATTATGGATGCCATGTTTCGGGTCATTAGTTCAGCATGTGTTATTTTCATAAGCAGTTGGATTTTGAGGCTTATAATGATGAAAATGTTTTGTTGTTGTTGTTGTTTTGTCAATTCATCTTATCTAAAGAGGGCACTCCAGTACAACTTTAATTAAAACCAAATTATAAAAAAGCAAAATGAATGAAAGGAAAATCTTGCTGTGTATAGGAAAATACTATAGAAAGTATCCCGCAGTGCCACTGTGCTTATATGGAAAAGCCATTGTGCCAGTATATGTTATTGGCTTTGCACTGAGGTTGCTTACACTAGCATTGCATCAACTGGTTACATGGAGTGACAGTGTTGCATACTTCCCTATCATTAGCCTTCTGTATGGTGTAGGAAACTGATTTTCAGGCCTTTTTCACAAACTTCTGTGATTTTACATTTGTCATATAATGTAGTACAGCAAGAATGAAAACAGAAAACCCAATATACTCACTTATAAACAGGAAAAACTGCACTACACTGATGACAATAATCTGTTAAGTTGGTGAAGGACTTAACATCCCTACTCTTACAAATGAGCTGTCTTGTGAATAATTCTTACATATTTTAGTAAAGCATGTTTATAAGTACTCTGTCTATGTATAGTTAAAGACTTATTCCATTAGTCTATTTATTAGCAGTTTCCCCTACAAAGACATTACTGCTGGTATCCTAGACTACTTAAAAAGAACACATTGAATTTTTCGTTCCTTTGGGCTTCATGTTGAAAAGCCTATCCAGTCAGAGATAGAAAATCAAAATGCTTTGTTTTAATATCTGTATAAGGCAGGGGTGAACAGCTACTCGTAGATGTTTTGGTCTACTTATCTTTCATCATAGGCTATGCTGTCTAGTGCTGATGCCAGTTTTAGGCCAAAATATCTGGAGGGCCACAAGTTGCCCACCCATGCTATAACACCATATATAATTCCAGACACTAGGATAAGGGCAGCATAGCAATGCTTGTGTAATACACTACTAAAAAGTAAGGCAAATATTAAATTGTAATTGAATGTTTTTATGAATGGTATTATTTCAGAATTTGCATGTGCAAGTTTGAAAATTACCTGGACATAACCAGTCTTACAATGCATCCTTTTAATGCATTATCTTAAATTTACAGAAATATACTGAGGTTCCTCTTAATTCTATTGAAGATTGTGGAATTGATGCAAAATTTGTCAACATTGTTTATGATACTTTATTGAATGCAGTAAGTAAAATTATGGTTTTTAAAATGTATTTTGTACATTTGTTGTACAAATTTTAATTGTTACAATACATCTAGTATAGTGCTATGTATGGATCACTAACTCCAGTTTCAGTTCTAATGATTTAGTCCCACTGATATTATTGTGCCAAGTTATTCATGACTAAGACATGACTACCATAGTCTTGATTTAAGCAAATATAGATCTTAAAAATGATTAAACAACAATGTGTTGCCATTGTATTTTATGTTAACTATTTTCAAGAGACTATAACAATGCAAGATAATCACTTTTGGGTAAGACTGGCCATATTCTGTAAGTGATCAGACAGCTGCTTCTGGAAGACTCTTAGCAGAGCATGAACACAAAAGCCCTCATTTATTATTTACCTCCAACAAGTACAGCAGGACCTCTGTATCAGTTCACTTGGTTGACACATTTTCAGTTAACCACAGTTGTAAGAGAAAGGGTAGCTGTAAAATGCTGGAAAGTGCCAAAGGAAGTCATAAAGTGCTTCCTGTAAGTGAAGATACTTGAATGACTAGGGAAACAAAAATTCATATGTTGAGGTTAGAATGAATGAAATTATGAAAAATCAATGTATATAGTATATAGTGTTCACTATTATGCACAGTTTCAGGTTTCATTTGGGGGCTTGGAACCAATCTTTGTGGATATGGGGGTCCTGCTGTGTTTAATTGCATAATTCTAGTAGGAAGATGCTTTTTAACTATCAGTTTTTATGCTTGTTGACAAACCTATTCTTTGTTAATTAATCACCTTTTAAACTGTAGTTGAAAGTTGGAGTACAATTTTAAAAGCAACGTTTATTAAAATAGTGGTGTAAACAAACATTAAAATGTAAAACATTTCAAATACAGTGCCTTGCAGAAGTATTAAATCCTTCCTCTGATTTTTCTTATTTTGTTGTGTTACAACCTGGAACTGAAATGAATTAAATTGGCATTGTTACCACTAGATGGACACAATATATTCAACAATGTATGGATGCATCCAATGTATGGAGTGTTTTACCAGAGCACAAAAGTTATGTAAATGAAACCACTGATACTGTACTCCAAATTATTATTTATAAGTATGCTTTAAAATGCTTAGGACTCTCTGATGTGTATAACTTAGAGAACATATCTGAATCCTGATGGAATAGAGAAAATATATTGGGATACAGTGATGCCTCCCCTTTTTGGATGCATACCTTAATTAAAAAGTGAGGGGATTTGAGAGTGTCACAGAGGCCAAGAGCAATGCCACCAGGATGCCGGACTCTCTTGCTAGGCTATTCTTCTAGCAGGGTCACCAAAAATGGAATGGTCAAAGCTGAGACAACAAAGATGCATCCATCTTTGATGCATCCATCTTCAGAAGTAATGGTCACATCAGCAGAACAGAACAGAGATTTCTGATGGTGATGGAGCCAGAGAAACTTCTGAAAGGCAGCTAGAGGGCAACAGAGATAGCTGACAGTGACATTGACAGAGGATCTTTCACACATATATATGCATATATATTCATTTGGTAGTATGAATACTTCTAGATAACACAGTTTACCACTAAAAATGACTAATATTTGTATCCTTCTACTGATGTTTCAGTCCAACCGAATCTACAAATTGTGTGTGTGGGTATGTGTATCTGAGGAAGCCTGGAGGCCTTTTTCAATTTCATCCCTTTCCACACCAACACTTATCTGTAAGACTTTGAGGCATTGTTTGACTGTGATTCACAGATGCAGGAGTCACATAAACCATTCCCTTAGACTTTAAATTCCTTAACAGTATCTTCAGTGATCACTTCTGCTGTCCTAAAAGATTTAGTTTGATGTTTTTGTAAATTAATTTGAATATCTATATGGTACATTCTTTTTTGGACAAGAAAAAAAATCTCAAATGCAATATAAAAAGACTAGAAAGCAGTAAGAGTAAGCGAGTATATTTTTACAGCCCTTCCCAATATTTTAGGTGTTCAAGAAAGTGGAAGAATATTCTCCTTATAGAGATGGATGACGTTTTGACAGCTAGCTGTCAACATTCTGGTTCCTTTTAAAAGGGGTTTCTTGACTGGTTTTTTTGTTTTTGTGTTGTTTTTTTTTTGATGGAATGAAATATGTTTTCATTCCTGTATATATCCCTGTCAAAAACAAAAACTTGAATAGTTTGCCATTTGGAGGTTGTCAGGAGAAAGCAAAGTGAACATTAAATTGCTTTGCAGCCTCTCTGCATCAATGTCTATTTTTTAAAGGATAATTACCTGGCAGTAGCCCCTCTAATGTGCTGCTTGGGCACTTTGAAGGGCCTGTCCCCAGCTGTCAACCTAGAAATTGAGAAAGGTAATTGCTGGAAAAAAAAAGGAGGGCAGAAAGCTGTCATGACCACAAAAGGGCTTTCAATTGAAGCAGAGAGGGCAGACAAGTTTACTCCTACCACTAACACTTCTAAGATACTGGGGAGGACTGGTGAGATGCAGGGGACAATCCACAGTCAGCCCAATCATCTGTCAGGCATATCATGAAACAACCCGTCCCGGATAGCTTATTTGAAGAGTGGGTTGTCATAATATAAGAACCCACCCAGTGTCTCCTGAGTTGCCCTGAGAAGGTTGGTTGATAAAATTCATTGTTGCCAAGTGTAAAGCAATATACTTGTTTGGGTGGTGGGGAGTGCTATGTTTCATGCAGCGACCTAAAATGTACTGTTCTTTGTACTCTCCATGACTGTACAGTCTTGTCTAAAACATTCTATTCTCTGTGGGAAATTCACCCCATCCCATGTCCATTATGCATATGCAAAGTGCATAGCTTTCTTGGTATGTTTTTTTCTTGCCGTAAATATTGTTGTTTCCTTTGGGGCAACCTGTGTCTTCAGACACTGCCATCTTGACCTTGCAGCTTCTAGTCTCAAAAGCCTTTTCCTGCAGAGGCAAACTTCCAAATGTGGGCGGATGTGCTCAGCGTCTTTTCTGCATGGGCAAAAGTCTTGTGGTGGAGACCTGCCATCAGATACTGTTGTCGGAGCAAGGCCCACAGGCTGCAGATTCAACATGCTAGTCCTCAACAGCTCACCCCTGTACTTAAGCACAAATCACTCACTATTGATAACACTGTCACCAGCTTCCCAGTCATTGCTTTCTTTGGAATCAGTTAACACTTAAACTTGATCGTTCCTTCATTTTAAAAACTAAACTGTTTTTAGTTTGGAAAAGGGTATTTATGTCAGTTCTCTGAAGCATACCTTAAGTTTTGAAACCAAACGCACTTTTAGCCAGAATGTGTTTAGGAAAGGAATAACCAAATCCAGAATAGAATAGCCATTTTGAAATCCATAAAGGAACTACAATCATAATTATGTTCATTTATGTTTGTAGAATAAGCAGAATAAGCACACAATGGCGTAAAAGAATCACATCTTGTTTCTTGTTCCTGCCTTATAGTCTACCTTAGCACAAACACAGGAGATGGTATGTTTGCATACTTACACACACCAAAAAATGTATTAAACATTCACTGCCAGACTGGGGAAGAAATATAAATTGCATGTTGCGTGAGTACGAGGAACAACAAGCAGAGCTATATTACCCTGGACAAATATGGGCATTAGGTTTTTGCCTTTGTTTATCCAAAATGAATTTCATATGGAGAAATTTTTGAACTTCAAAAGATTCCCAATAGGAAATTTAAGCAACAATAAGCTGACAATATTGTTTTTTCTATGAATTTCTGAATTACAGTATGATTTTATATTTTTGCCATATTTTGGGGTAACAGTGTAAGTTCTAGTTTATTGCAATTTCAAAAATAGAAACCACCCTTGGTCCTTCAATAAGACAATTCTCTTGACTCATGTTTTAGCCACATGGTGATAGAGACCTGGTAACTGTAGAAGTTGCCTATTTGTTAAAATTCTCATTGTGTTTTTTCCTGTCTTTTCATTTGTTCTAGCCTCAAGATATCCAGAAATGTGTCCTAAGAGGAATAATTAATGGTTTATTACAGGAATGGAAAGGGTAATTAGATCTAACTTTTACATATCTTTATATCATTGAAGTAATTTAAGGTTTCTGCTGAGATAGGCTGTGAAAAAATGATAAGAGTCCTATGGTGATTAGCTTCATTTAGTTTTCTTTTACAATAACTAATTTCATCAGCTGTGGAAAGTATTACCCTTTTGTGACTGCTATATGCACATGGGAACAAAGAAAAATGTGAACATTTTGTTGTAGAAAAATTGGTCTGTTATATTTCTGTACTGATCTAAGAGTGACCCATATGTTACAGCAGTAACTATTTTTATTTTTTATTTGTAGTTTTGTTTTTGTTGCTGTTGTTACTAATGATATTATTAACATCATGTTAAATTTCAGAATACTGCTATTCACCACAACATTGCCATAGTTCAACCTCAGATAGATGCTCTCCTCTCCAAGGGAGCAGTGTAGAGGGTCCACCAGAACCACTTCAGGGGTCTCTTCTCCCACTCTCAATACTGAAGTGGGATGGAGGCCTCAGACCAATTCTCGACCTCAGAGTGTCAACTATTTCATCACAGTCAAAGCATTCAGAATGGTCTCTTTGCTAGACCTTGTACCACTACTGCAACAGGGAGACTGGTTCGCCTCACTTGACCTAAAAGATGCCTACTTCCACATTACAATCCACTTTTTGGTCTAATGTGCAATTCTTATTTATATTGAATCATGTTTGCTATTTTGTTGCCAATTGTTAGGTCCACTTATACAGCCTAAATAAACTACTGCTTAGTTTTTGTACATTAGTCCACATACGCAGGCAAATATCCTGACAGGTAAAAAAAATGAGTTGAAATTGATGTTAAATGGATTTGAAGTGAACGGTTTACTTTTCATTCTTTGTTTATTGATCTACTTTCAGACCACGGACAAAAGAAGATCTTAGAGCATATTTTATACTTCTACAGGTAGGAAGAATAAGATAGTTTTTACAAGGAGTTAAAAATAGCAGAGCAACAACAACCAGAGAAGAGATAGACAAAATCTAGTTTTGTACTTTGAAAATGCATATTGACATCTCTGCTCATAAGTCTGCTTGTTTGTGGATAGGCATGGTAGTTTATGGCTTGAAATAAAGTAGTGATGTAATTCTAGTGATGTAAATGAGTGATGTAGTTCAGAAAAACTTCTAAGACTTTAGCATTTGTCACAAAGCACTTCATCCAAGTGGGTTGAAACAATTTTTACAGTGTCTTGTCCATATTCTGACTAAAATATGTCCTTTGGGATACACAACTGAGGTAATTAACTACCGCCAAAACCCATAACTTATTATTTTGCCCCCAAAAAGATAACACCCCCAACCCACTTAGAGACATTGTTAAGGAAAACTGGTGCTGGTTACAAATTCTGTCCCCTACTTTGTCTAAGTGTGTGGTCTTTTCAACCTTACCTCGTATTCACCACCTTTTAAAAGGTCACTAATATTTCTCAAGTATGTTAAAAACCAAAGTCTTTCACAAAAAATATTTTATTAGAAAACCAGGGAAGAAATAGTAATAATTACTAACTTAGAAAACAAAAGAGGAATATATTTCTCTATCCTAGCTTGGAACTGATGGTAGTTTGTTGAATCAGATCTAAGCATTTCAAAAGGCATAGAATTTTAGACAGAGAATTAGTATCCTTTATTCACAACTGAATTAGATTCACGCCATTTCTTGCTCCTAGATGATTGCTCTCTTTCTGGTGTTTATATCCTGCCTTTGTCACAGTTCAGCAGTACAATAGTGCTAGGAAGTAACAATTGCATGATAGAGACAGTTCCCACACTATATGGCCATGAAATACACATAAAATCAAGCGTACATCTCTGTGTATGTCTGCAATATAATGGGATGGGGCAGTTTTCAGGTACGGACTAGTGGCTGGGAGTATTGTGTAGTAACTGCACTGAATAAGTTTTGTTATTGTTATGTGCTATCAAGTCATCTCCAATGTATGGCAACCCTAGGAATGAATCCCCTTCAAAATGTCCTGTCTTAAACAGTGTTGTTCAGCTCTTGCAAACTTAAAGTGTTAGCTTCTTTTATGGAATTAATCCATCCTCATATTTGGGCTCTTCTTCTGCCTTCAACTTTTCCTAGTGTCATTGCCTTCTCCAGGGTCTTGGTGTCTCATGATGTGCCTGGAACAGATTTTACTACAAAATAATCTTACTGTGATAATGTTTGTAATAGTGTGTTCAGTATAACTTCAAAAGGTATCCTTTCTTTTTATACTAATAAAGTGTTTTAATCTTTTGCAGAATCCTCTGTTTAGTAATGCATCAACATACGTCATCTATGCTCATTTGCTAAGACAGATAGCTGCCTTAACAGAAGGCGATCATCACTTCCTAATTCACTGGTTTAAAAAGTAAACTATTTTCTATTCTTTAGGATCACAAATTTTGTGAGTTCAATAGCAATTGATAGATTTACTGATTTTGGTAACTGACTGGTTCTGAATAGGTCCACTGCTCTCTTTAAAAAGTCATTAGAATAACTAAAAATAGTTAAATCTGTTTTCAGTATTTGAGGCAGCAAATAGAAAACAGATGATTTACAGTATGTTTTATGGAGCAGTTACACATTCATTATCGAAGCATGAATATGAAAATTAGGAACCCAATTAGTGTTGTAATACTGAAGTTATCCTAAAACTACCCTGATCATACCTATCTTATTTGGGTTAAACACTAATAATAGCCCAAGGCACAGAAAGCCTTTCTGGCTAATGGGGTGGGATATAAATCTAATAAATAAATAATTTCACATTTTCATGTCTGTTACTATATATAAATTCATAAATTTTATAAATTTGGCAATACATTCACTATACATCATACTTTCTTATGTTTCAGTAAGAAACAAGAAAGACTGAATATTTTTAGTGGCTCATGATTTAAAAAATATCTCATATTACTATTACGTGGCAGAAAGGAACCACAAATAATTTAAATTATTATTCTATTCTTATTAGAATCACCATTATCATAATCACTGATCTATTCACTTATATTTGGGGAAGAAGTAACTTTAAAAATAACAAAAATTGTAAAGCAGCATAGTCCAAGCTAAAGTAGATTTTACATACCATTTTGTAATTCTTGTAAATTGTAAATAAAAAAACAGTATAAAGACAAGCAGTATCTGAAGGAAAAAAGGCTGAACTGCTCAACCTTTTCTTCATGGACTTTTATAACTCAATAGTACCTTTTCCAAGCATTTCTTTTCTCTCATGGTTGGAGAAAACAATTGTAGAAACTGTTGGAATATAGTGATCCCTCACTTGCACACACCACACAGACACACTTTCCTTCCGTCATTGTGTCTCTGTCACTTTTCTCTTTGCAAATATAAAATGTGTCCTTTTGAGCTAGAAAAGGACAAAATAGAAACAGTCCATCAACCCACTCTCTCTGCACCCTTTCTGCACTAAGAAATGCACCATGCCCCCAGCCAGTTTGGAATGTTTTTAAAATACATAGGAAGAAATCATAAAACTCTGCCTAATGCAAGCTCAGAATAACAGCAATAATTAAAATTACAAATCTTCATTACTAAAGTGTCAAATGGAAATAAACTTAGTTATTTGGAGTAATAATTCTCAAATTTTAAAATAGGTAATATTTCATTCTTGTCCCTCTGAGATATGAATATGTCCTCATTCTGCAGGGAAAGAGAGGACTGGAAGTGAGGGATGCTCCACACACAAACAATTTTCCTGAACACTACACAATAAAAATGTGTGTGTTCCTTACCTTTAAATATATACATGTTGTTTTCTACATGTGTGATCTGGTCCTGAGTGATCTGGAATTTTTAAGGCTATAGAGTGTAGCCAACAAGACTAGAGTGTGTAACTGTATCTCCAACTCCAACTCACCTTCTGCTCATTGGACCACACTGGGTCTAATGCCATAAATTCACTTTCTCTCTGTCTGTCTGTCTGTCTGTCTGTCTGTCTCTCTCTCTCTCTCTCTCTCTCTCACACACACACACACACACACACGGATTGAGGAGAAACCCCATAAAAACATGGTCAATACCATGTTGACAGCAATCTGACAGACCTGGTTCATTGGAACAGCAGTTTTGCTGACCATTTAATATTCTTGCTTCCAAAATATTTATGTTACTTGTGAATGCTGTAGTATAGTTTTCATGGAATGTTGTCAAACCTTAAGTACTTTATATCATGATTTTAACTGATGTTCTACAGTTAAGATGTTACCATCAAAATAACATCAGTATCTTTCTTCTAGGATGTCTCAGAAAAGATTCAAGCAGGTGATAGACAGACTCCTACAGTTTATTTCTTTACGTCTGTTTCCTGCAAAACCCGAAGAACTGCCTCCTATGGAGAAATGTTCATGGTGGATACCATCAGCAACCAAAGTCTTGTCTTTATTTAGTAGGTTTTCCCAGGTGCAATTAGTTTTTCTTCTAATATGATGTTTTTCTCACTATAGTTACTGTTTAATATAGAGTGCAACTAAAGATCTGTTTCTAATAACCTGAGTGTTAGGTTGAATCTCTATTCTTATATTTTCCTCCTCCCACTACCTCCCTTGCAACAGTGGCCAGCATCCTAGTCTCCTCTGCCTGCAGCAGGTCTGCCATCCCTAAGCCCAGTGTGAGATCTTTCTCTTTGCATGTCCTTTGGAAGCTGGGTGGAATGTTTTCCATCTAAATAGATAGACTTCCCCCACAGAAGCAGTCCTCTTCAGTTGGTATTCTATTGCTGATACCTTCCATCTCAGAATACATATACATCAGCAATTCTCCTATAAGTCTTGGAGACAAATAGCAATGTTTAGCCTATTGTGTACCTAAGATAGAAAATAATGCAAATGTAAGTCACTTTATTACTCTGAAGAGTTCATATTCTGTTGTATAAGAATATATTCATTATCTGAAGAGAATATCTAATAATAGACTACTGTCATGTTTTTTAGCTGCTACTAACACTGCATTAAAGTAAGCAGAACAGTCTTGCATATGGTTACAGAAATGGTTCCAGAAAGGGAAAAATATACATGCACAATTGCTGGAGGCTTGGGAATATTGAGGATCAGGCATGGTGTAGCCTAGGATGAGAACCAGGCATGAAATATGAAGGAGCAGGCATAGTGTGCCTATGATGAATGTCAAGGATGGTAGGAGAGCTGCATGTTGGGGATTCATCAGCAGTAATCTGCAATAAATATCCCACTCCAAACAAGGTCCTCCTTGCATTGATCATAAAACATAAATGGCTCGGACATAATGAAAATATTGACTTTCTCTCTTCAGTAAGATGTGGTTCTTTATGGATCATAATACATTTTAACAAGTCTTAATCTCTTTAAACAAAGATGTCAAGAACTATTTCTGAAAATTCATTATTTACATACATCTTTACAGATGCTTCAAATAGTCTAGTTAATCCTCCTCTTGTTCCATATATGGATTTCTATAATTCCACACTGGATCATATTGATCTCATGGAAGAATACCATAACTGGCAATGTTATGGAAATTCTCAGAGGTAAGGAAAAAATCATACCACCTGGGTTGAGGGATTACAAAATGTCATGAGAGCAAAGGAGGGAGGGAGGGAGAGAGAGGGAGAGAGGGAGGGAGGGAGAGGGAGGGAGAGGGGGAGAGGGAGGGAGAGAGAGAGGATCATTATAGTATGCAATGTTTTCAGGTTTTGGTTTATACTAAAATGAAGCATTCAGCCTATTACTGTGAATAATCTATGTTTTTGCTCATTGTACCATTTTTAATTATGGGTATATTCAAAACCATTTTATTTTCAGGAAATGTTTTCTTGCAAATAGATATTCGAACTGGTGCAGACTATAACATTAACATCTTCTTTCTTTACAATTGTAAGATAGACTTGTTCACTCTTTGGCATGTCTCTCGCTTAGTATAGGGTAGCAGATATTTTCTTTAAGCAATGTGTAGATGTAAAAATACTCAATTCCATTCTTAATCAGCATTTATCATAATGTGTACCACTTGTAAGCATTAATGTCAATGTACACAGATTGCAAACACTGGAAGAAAATAAGAATTGTCCAGATGTTGCATCTTACTAGAGCAATAAAAAGCTTGTATGCTGAAGCTGCCAAAACTGGACTGCGGTGCATGGGTGCATGTGATCAGTTAATATTCCGTGGCTACACTTCTAGTCCACTGCCTCTAGCATTCAGTTCTAGCATTTATATATCATGTATACTTGCTTTCATAGTCATAGTTAATTGCTTTGTATTCAACTTTATGCAAGATTAGCCATGCACTGCTACCCTACATAGATTTCCTTTCAACAATATGGTCCTACCAGTCCACATATACCAAAGTGGGTTTCTAGCTACCGGTATAGGAAATTATACTTTGATATTTGTCAGAGGACAGCTTAAACTTTATACTCAAATGTATGTAATCAGTAATGGAGGTGTATATTATATCAGTACTCTATTTCTAATCACATGTTTGCTGAACATGGAGATGGGGGGGCATATGTTCCTATGTCTAGAACCACCTAGACATAGGAGTAATCAGTTCCTCTGGAATGATAGGAAATATGATCCAAAGTGGCAGCTTCCTACAAGGAAGAGGCTTCCTCAGAAGGGCAGTCAGGGTTCTTTTCTCAAAGAATGCAGAAGGATGTTACCTAAGCTACTATTTAGAACTTCAAAAATAAACGATTTTTAAAGGAAGAACAAAAATAATAATTTGAAGACTGCATAGGAAAGCACTGAACTGTGGCACCCTGTCTTTCATCATTTCTGATCCTTACCCTAGTATAGTTAGGGTGGAAAGGTATATAAAAAGGCACTATTATGTGGAATTATCACTAAGTCAGTTTCTCTGACTCCTCTGCTGCAGTAATTTCTCTAACTCCTTTGTTCCACTTAAGTTATACCATGTGATCTCTGAGTCTCTTCGGGGTGGCATGCTTCTTCCTGATCTTTGCATTCTTTTGGTATATGACTATTAAGATCAAGGAGTCCTAGTATGATGAACAAAATGCACAACTGTGTATCAGCATATTCTAAAATAGATTTCACCTAGTACAGGCATTCCCTGGGATACAAATGAGTCACGTTCCTGAGAAAATGGGAATGTGTCTTTCAGTCAAATTTGTATGCAAGTTAGATCACATATAGTTGGTCCTGTGGAAAAATAGCAAATATTTCTAGCCCCCTCCCCTGAAACTCACCAATGCCTCTTCTTTGCAGCAAGGAAATATCAGAGGTTTCCCTCTCCATATGGATAAGGCAGGAAGGAATGTTTTGGAGGTCTCCCTCTCTTCTCTTTCACTTCTCTTTCTGTGGTGATGCTGCTTTGGAGGCTCTCTCTCCCCTTTTCACTTCCTATCTCCATGATGATGATTTTCTGCAGTAATTTTTTAAAAAATCAATAGGCTCTAGGCAATTTGTTCATTAAGTATGATTGTTCATTCTTGGATGCTGGTAACTCAATAGCCACCTGTACTTAAAGAATCCAGTAAACCTATCTGCACTTAGGGGAAGCCATAGAGACAAATTAATCTGGGTTTTTCTGCATCCGAACCGCATCAGTAAACCTTTGGTAAGTACATGAGGACTTTCAGATTCATGGTGCCAGCAATGGAACTAGAGAATTAAATATCTTCCATCAGGTTAACTAGAATTGAGTGGCATATCCCTTTTCATTACACAAACAGAAGGTATCTTTGCTTCCAGTGTGATCGCAAGACTTATAAGTGCAATGCCTTCTCATTCAGCCTGTTCTCAGTATTTCACCAAGGTAATAGTTGCCCACCAGAGGAGTAAAAAATTAGGCATTTCTCTACCTGAGCAGGTGAGAGGCTTGTCACCAAAGGCAAGTGTCTGGGTGATGGTAAATTACTAGCTTAAATATGGGTTTAGAATTTTTAAAGAGTTTTTCCTTGACTTCAGGTGTGATTTTTTTTTTTGAAAGTTTTATTTTCAGAAAATACAGTGGAGGGAAAAAAAACATAAGAAGAAAAGAAAAAGAAGAAAAAAGGGGGAGCCAAGAGTCATTCTAAGGATTTAATAAACATTTAAGCACATTTACAATAGACAAAAGTCTCTGTCAACCACTTTCCCACTCCACCCATTCAATTTTCACTCATATATTTACAGTTATAAATCTGAACATTCCTTTGGTACCAATGGTAATCACATTTGTATATGTTTTCTTTAACCTTTATTTAATTTTTTCAAAGTAAATCTTCCTTCTTTGGGTAATTTTTAACCGTCTTCAGTTGACATAACTAGTTAGCTGACTATGCCATTGTTGCATACTCATCTAGAATCCAGGTGTGATTTTTGACACTAAGTATGATGAACTTATTCTAGAGATTCAGAATCGATCGGCAGGGTATTCCAGAGAATGGATCAACCATGGAAAGGCTCCCTTTCTGGTTGTCATCAGATTTTATTTATTTATTAAAAGCTTTTGTATGCTGTCCTATTATTCAAAATCTCAGGACAGCTTACAATATTTAAGAGAACAATTAAAACACTTACCTGATGGACATGGGCAAGATGTGGAATATCTAGGAGAGCCTCTGATTCTGTTTGCAATGGCCAGCCAGATCTATTCAGGTACACACATTTTTGCAAATGTCCTGATTCCCAGTTGTGACAATTTGATAGGTGAACACCCAAACCTTAAACATGACCTAGTAGAAAATTGACAGCCAGTGCAGTTATTTCAACAATTGTTTGATGTGGCTCTTTATTTAGTTACAACTGTAACCATTGTAGCTGCCTAAAATGCATTGAGATAAAAATGCTTGACGGTACCACAGCCTGTTTCATTAGTTTCAACTTCTGTGCAGTTTGGGGGTAGCATACCCTTAGATCTTTATATTTTTATATGTTCAAAGATTTTATCATCTTCTCCTATAGTAGAAAAACGAGATTATACCCTTTATTTATTTGTAAATTTCCATTCTTCATGAAATTCATGCTTCCATCATGACAGCTTGTACCACAATATTAATTATTGGGCCAAACCAGAAGAGAGAGCTGGTACTATTTCTTTTGCTCATGGATATGCTTTGGAGAGATTCCCAATGTCAGTTTTTTCTTAGTGCCTCCTAAGAAGCACTTTGACATGCAATATTTTGGAGTTATGCTTCAGTAGCTCTAAGTTTATTTTGCTCTCAAAAAGAATTTCAACAACCTGACCTTATGAAGGAACCCTTCCTTAGGAGGAAGCCATTCATTTGGCTTATGCTATCTATTATTCCAGGAGGAACATATCCCAATTCCAACTGTCTAAGTGGAACATGAGGAGACTTAGGACAAGTGGGAAAGTATTTATTTATTACATTTGTATGCCACCTCATAGCCAGAAGGCTCTCTGGGCTGCTCACAGCACAATCATAAACAGTGATACAGAATAAAGATAGAAAAATAAAGATAAAACTAAATAACAGTAATAACTAAAACCATAAACCATGATAGAATAAAAATACAATAGAAATAGAACAGGAGAATTAACACAAAATAATAAAACAAACCAATAGAACAATAAACAGAAGCAAAACTAATAATCATAATCTGAAAACAGTTACTAAATTTTTAAGCCTTAACTTGGTGCCAAAAGCAAGGTAAAGTGGGTGCCAGTAGCATCTCCCTTGGAAGGAAATTCCAAAGGTAGGTGTGTAGACAGAGAAGGCCCTTTTCCTCACCAATTCCCTCCCCGTCAAATTTGGGGGGTGGGGAGGGGGTCATGAAGAAGGGCCTCCATTGATGACCTGACTGGTCTGGTAGGGATACATGGAAAGAGACAGTCCTTTAGATCTCCTGGTCCCAAGCCATTTAAGCCTTTATATGTTAGCATGAACACTTTGAATTGGGCCTGGGCAATGACAGGCAGCCAATCCAATTGGCAAGAGGACCAGCATGTTATGTTCTCTAGGGCCAGTCCTAGCTAGTAACTGCACTGCTCTGTTACGGATTAATTGAAGAGCCTGGACCATCTTCAAAGGCAGCCCCACACAGAGTGCATTACAGTAATCCAGGTGAGAGGTTACCAGTGCATGGATAACTGTGGCAAGGATCCCCTCATCCAAGTAGGACAAAAAATATAGTAGAAAGGCATTGGGCAGGAGTAGTTAAATAGCATCTGCCTCTTGTCCTCTGAAAATACATGCATGCCTGTTCAGCAAGCACAATGTTGGAAGTCATGTTTACTAATATAATATGTAATTCTGACCCTTGAAATAAGCAAGTGTCTAAGAAATTATTAATTGCAATTAAGGCGTTAATTTATTCTGACTTTTTATATTTAATTACTCTGATTCATAATATAGTTATTAATATATTATTTCCAAAGCACTTCTGTTTATATCCGTTTTCTATTTCAGATTTTCCTTCTGTCAATACCCATTTATTATTTCTATAGCAGCAAAAAAAGTTATTATTCAAAAGGATTCAGAACAACAAATGATAAATATTGCACGGGTAAACATTTTCTTTAACAGTCTACAATATTGTAAAATCAGTGTAATGAATAATTTGTATAGTTGTGCAGAGACTAAGGGATAAAGTTGCAAGATAGCCCTATTTGCAAAATGTAATAGAAAGCACTGCACTTTTAGGTTTTGAGCATTTTGATATGTAATAGCTATTTCTTTATTTAACTTTATAGTAGCATGTTGCATGGACTACATATAATATATAAATTACATGATTTGAGACCTTTATGGAGAATGATTTGTTGTGGGTTCCAGATGGAGAGTTTATTCATTTCCCCTTCAACAGCCTTGTAATTTAAAATAGATTCATCTGCTGCTTAACTGCAGTATACTGACCTAATTTCTGCCAGAGCTAACAGATCTGCCAAAATAATTAAAATAGCAAAGCAGTGGGAAAAAATTAATTTGTTGTAGTCTTAACAATGTCAAAAGTGGACTGCCTCATTGGTAAGCCATGATTTCCAGAATTGCCATTTTCCATGTTGAGGCAAGTGTAGCTCTCTTTTTCACATGTCTCTTTTCTGCCAGTAGTGATTAACTTAGCTGTGGTGTGTCAAATACGGAGGAATAATGGTTGTAAGCAGAAGCTAGTTACTAGCAAATGGTGACAACTCAATTTGTAGTATTAGTCAATTTTCGTACAGTGTAAGAAGGAGGGGGCAACTTATCTATGCCTACAGCTCCCATCACTCCTCAGCATTAGCTCTGCAGGCCAGAGCTGATGGGGGTTGCAGGTCAAGATATCTAGCAGGTCAGAAGTTGCCTGCCCCTATCATAGACCTGTTCATGCCACACTAGGACTGTTGTTCCTATTATCAACATACAGTTCTTGAAGCATTTGCACACTGGAAATATGCCTGACTCATTAAACAGACAGTATTTACATTTCTGAAGTACCAATTTAAACTGTTATTCTGAAGAATCTTTCTGAGGGGGAATCTAAAGACTATTGTGTAACTTCTCACAGTCAGTGCATGGGTTTTGTCTTGTTTGTAATGGTTTGTTGTTGTCATTGTCAACTAATAGCAAGCTGCAGTTTTGAAATTTGCAAACATAATATATTAAATATAGATTGGTTATGCAAATGTTTTGTGTAAGTGATTAGACATTAGTTTAGAAGTTTGTAACAATTATTTTATTAAGTCAGAATCCTACATAAGACACAAAGGATAATAATATATGGTAGTTATTTTTCCCTTTCCTTTCTGCATTCTAAATAGCAAAGCCTTGTGGACAAAGTCTCACGAAGGCAGAGACCTGATATGAATATGCTGTTCCTAAATGTGAAAGTTCGAAGAATGCACCTCGTTAGTGATTCATTGGATGAGGTATAAAAAATGGTTTCTGTAAAGATAATTGAAAAATGTCTGTAATGCTCTAAATTGCTGTCAGGTTCACACTGATACTCTGAAATACCCTACATAAATTCAGTAAAGCAGACATAAATATGCTTTACCCAATTATATTTTCCTAGTTTCATATTATAGTTTTTATTCAGGATTAGACCACAATATTCTGATTCAGATGTAATAGAAAACTGTTTTAACAAACCCCAGAAATCTTAAGTCCTAACCAGAAAAAGTCAGGCAGAGAAGATAAAACCTCACAGAATGAGGTACTCTGGGATCTTCTTTACCTTTTAAACTCACCTGAGGTCTCTGAAAAGTTGTTAGCTCTCATTATCACAGATTTTTATGTACTAGCATGAATGGAGATATCAAATTGCATTGGACCTAGAACATCTTAGGTTCTTAGAATTAGAAAATGCTTCTGCTTAAAGAAGCATGACTGATGTCTACCCTGATGATTTGTTGTGACTGTAGAAAGCCTCCCTTTTTAAAAAGCCTTTTAGAGTGTAATACCCTTTGTTGAAGGGCAGGGTATAAGTTATTAAAAGCAGTGACTAAAATCTAACCTTGATTTTACAGATTACAATTGTGGCAGGTGTTTTCCTTTTAGTTTTTGTGTAATTAGTTTCACAAATTATTACCACAGTGTGCATGTAACTGTAGCAAAATTTTAACATAGTGTCAGCTGGATCTCCCACATGCTTTAGGCAAATGAGAAGATTCCTCAGCTATTTCTTTCCTTTTGGAGACTTGGGATCCTTTAATAATTAATTGATTGATTGATTAAAGAAATTAATATCTGCATAAATTATCCCTGCCTCCCAGGTCCTGTTCATCTAATATCAGTCTTGGTGGTTTGTATGCTGCACTAAGCCACCCTGCAAATATGCCACAGTGATTTTTTTGCACCCCATTAAATGATCAAACACACCATGTTTTGTTCTTCCCATTCTGAACACTACCCCTTTTCATTCTGCACCATTTGGGGAGAGTGGATTTCACAACCTCATAAATACACAAGTGGGTTGCCAGGTTCAGTCCCAGAATTAAACATTCCAGTGTATACATATGGCTTTCTGATATGTGGTCTTGTGTGGTCAATGTCTTTGTTTCAGCAATCAAAGGGAATGACAAAATGCAGTGTATAACCCAGGATTGAGGACTGCGTATTCAAAATGGTGACTGAATGAATTCCACATATGCTTCAGCCTCATTGTTAGTTAGATTATTATCTTCAAAGCATTCAGACCTTTTACTTTGATTCAAAGCAGGGAACAAATTGTGTTCCACATTCATGAACAGTTGATTCCTTGTCTTCTCCAAGTGGCCTCTAGATGTGTGGTACTACAGTTCTCATTATCTCTATTAGTATACATTATTGTTATATGTGAATGCAGCTGTAAGGTTAACCAATTGCATTTCTGTATGTTTGAAAATTAGCTTGCAGAATAAACTAGTGCTGTGTACTAAGTGATAATACTAGAGGGTTGGATCCAGATTTAGTCACATATTGAGTAAATGAATTGAAATTAATGTGATTTATTAATCACCAAATTACTTATGAGTAATTTAAATCCCATTGAATTCAGTGAGTCTACTGCAAATGCATCTAAAACTGGATCCAATTTTCTCTTAAGAGAAAATTATGGTTTTGTTTTTTATTTATTTAGTTCATTTTCATACTACCCAATAGTCAAGGGTCAATGGGCAGTTAACAATAATTGTTAAATAATTTAAGTATTTTTATGCATGTGTACTTTGGAACAGCTAACAAGGAAGCGGGCAGATTTGAAAAAGAAATTGAAAGTTACATTTGTAGGAGAAGCTGGTCTTGACATGGGTGGCCTGACAAAAGAATGGTTTCTGCTTCTAATTCGACAGATTTTTCATCCAGATTATGGTGAGTATTAAATTGAAGGTGTTCTAAGTGTTACCTAAATGAGATTTATAAATGCAAATATAAGTTGATTTTGAAGGATTATTAAACTAAATGAACCCCTTCATACCTGCTCTTTTCTATTAAAAAAAAAATCAGTAGTCCTAAACATCTGAGGCATCTGTACGAAAATACCTGTACATTTAAGTCATCTTTGGAGAACTTTCCTCATGTTACTTAACTGTCAGAACTACAAAAAGTGATAAAGCAAGACAGCACTTTTAGTTATTGTAGTGAGATTAACTTATTTTGCTTCCTTTCACATTATTAATCAGATGTTGAGTGAAAAAAATGCAAAATGCATTTTAAATTAGTTGATTTATGAAATTATGTAAACTGTGCTTCTGTTTTTTTTAAATGTGTTATATTTATATTCATGTGTGATCATGATCATAAATTATATAAGATATACATTTATATGGTTTTATTCAGCATTTGTTTTACTGGATGTTATTGTTACACGTTAATTGTTTTGTAAGTGACTTTATGAACTTATATCAGATAAATACTTCAAATAAATAAAAGATGAATTAGAATGTTGATATCTTCATTATTTATTAGATTTATGGTCCCATTTTTTCAATGCAGCTTCCAGCTTTATTTGAAAATTATGATATTTGCATTTTACTTTAAGAAAAATAGTAAGTAATAATGTGAATGGGGAATATAGTAAATAAAATAAACCACTAATGCAATCTGGGAGCCAGTGGAAATTATTTAAAGAATTTTCTTTCTACCCTCTTGTAATAAAGCATGAAGTCAATGAAAGCCACAATTGGAATAAATCTGAGAGCAGATTTTAAATCAATTGAAATCAACAGGATTTGAATGTTATTGACTTTCTCTGTGGTGCACTGAATTTTAGGCATAAGTAATAGGATTTTAATCTAAAAGAATCTCTTCTATTCTACAGGCATGTTTACATATCACAAGGACTCTCACTGTCATTGGTTTAGCAGCTTCAACTGTGATAATTACTCTGAATTCCGATTGGTTGGAGCTGTATCCTTTTCTGCCCACTAGAAGGTGCTATTTACCCAGTATATATATATATCATGTTAAGAATGTTTGATTTGTTTATATATTTATTTTTCTTCCATTGTAATCATTACATTTTGTTTGTATATATTATGTGCAGTGGAGGGCAACACAGAAATATTTATTATTGAAAAGGGAAATATATTTTATTTTGCTTTTCAATAAATTATATTTAGTAGTCTATTGAAACTATATTTAGTAGTTCAAGTATGAAAATTCAACAGAAAAAATATGGTTTGTACTATATTGATGCCAATGTCAGACCAGACATCATGTTAACTAAGTTTGGCTTGAGTTATGGAACATTATATTATAGATGTCCTAAAGCATTAATTTAAGCAACCCCCTTAAGTGCTACTTAATATTAGTTACACATTGTCTTTAGACTTTTTGTTCGGGTATTATTAAAATTTTACTAGGATACCTTACAACAAGAGTGTGGTTGTAAACTTAACATCCAGTATTTAGCTTATGGGACTAGCTGTCTATAACAGTATCACTCTGGATATTCGATTTCCACCTTGCTGTTACAAAAAACTGCTTAGTCCTCCCATTGTACCATCTGATCAGAATTCGCCTGTAGGAATTGGTAGCGTTACTATTGATGATCTATGTCGGGTTATGCCGGTAGGTTAAAAAATCATTATTTTAAAAGAACAGTCAACATAACAATGCTTGCCTTGCTGTTTTTAGTGTTTCATAACAATCTAAATTTAACTTTATTTTTACATTCTCCAATGTTGAATTAAGTTTGCATTTTGAAATTAAATTTTCAAATTGTAATCATATAGTAGTAAATATAGCTTGTATTCTGCAAGCATAAATATGTTCCAGGTTTGCCACTGAAAAACTCACAAATTATGATGCTAGGAAGCAATACATTTCATTCATTAGTGGTGAGTGCCAATGCTTGCAGTGCTTTGTTTCAGTTGTTGTAGCCTTATGCTTGTATTTAACAAATCATGTAAATCTTAAGCCATAAACCAAGGACAACTCAGCCTTCTGCCCTGCTTTGAAGGTTTATAGTTGTGAGCCAAATGGCAGTTTGTATTTGTGATGCATAATTAAAATTATTCATTGACATAAGAATAGAGCTATAATCAGCTCGTGAAGAAAGCACCCACTGAAAGCAGACCAATGCATGCTTTCCTTCAGTCTTCTGAATTTACAGTTGTAAATGGGCTTAGAACATTTTAGGGCACTGTTCACATAAACAATCCACATGTTCTTGATGATTGCTCAACATTTAATGATTTGCAGTTGCATTGTGAAATCCCTCTCTTGACCAGCATTAAACTTGAGGCTGTATTTAGTTCTGTTTGTGTTGTTTAATTAAGGAGAGTTATCTCACACACACAAGTTACCATTTCAGTGCAAGGCACCGTCAGTGTGAATTTTACTTGCGGTGTAATGTCTGAAGAAAACTATTACAATTCTGGGTCGTATGAGGGAGTCAGTTTGGAAGCGCTGCACTGGCCGAGAGTAGGCTACTGCTCTCCATAGCCTCCACTGCAGTGTTAATAATTAATAAACTACCATGTCAGCTATGAGTACCGCCAGGCTGAAGGATTGTCAGTGAAAAGACACCATGCACCTATTCTGCCTTTTTTTCCTTACAGAATTTATCTGGTTAGAGAAAGATGGGGGAAAGTGGTGAGGAAAAGGGAGATGGCTAAAGATGGAAGATGATGTTGTTTGGATGCACACCTCCATAAAAGTCTGGGACTGCAATAATGACAGAATAAAAGTTTCATCTAGTTGGCTATTTCCAGACAAGACTTTGGTTGTGCACTGCCTTCAGTGTTATCTCTGAAAATCTAGAGAGAGCCTCCATTGATAGAAAATACATTTTGCTTTTACAGGTGTGCCATTTAAAAAATGAGCTTGGGGACTGGAGTAGGAGGGAGAGCTAGCATGTTTGTTCTCACTTTCTCTCCTTGTGTGTTGTTCTATATAACCTTCACCTGAAAAGGGTTATGCTGCCACCGTTAGGCCATTGGTACACCAGAAAATGTGTGCCGATGCAATGATAACAAACTAAGACTAGCTTTAGCAGGAAAAGTGTCTCTGTAAATGTTTTGGGCCAGGGATAAACCATCTTCAGAACCTTGATGTCACAAGCAGAATCTAGTAAAGTCTTCTCTTCTTAAAAGAAAATCTTCTTCAAGTGATTCAGAGCATTGAGATTCCTGGGTGATGCTTAAGTTCTTCATCATGGTCTCTGTGCATCACACATACGGATGCTATTCCTGCACAATGCCACATTTGGAAGATTACTCTAGCTAAGCCTAGAATTTTTGGTGGGAGTCCTGACCCTCATTATATAAATAGATGAGCTCCACCTATATATACTAGGGAGGGAGGGGCGCCCGCCAAACCAGTTTAGCTAGGAAAATCTTCCTGACAAGAGGTTCTGCACAGGCACAGGACCCATATGTGTGAATGCATAGATAACCATTCAAAGATTGCCAGTTACAGGTAAGCAACCTTACTTTCTCAAGGATGCCAAAGGAAACACTACTTACCACTCATAAGTAGAGAGGGTTACTAGTTCAGTTTAGTAGGCTGCAGTGTCTGCTCTTTGGCCACACTAGCAATCAGTGTGGCAAACTATCAAGTGGCCATGTCCTGCTACCAGTTCTTTTTATGGGGAAAATGGGTCCCTTGTTTGATAACTTGCCTGATCACCAGTGTGAATTAGCTTCAGTATCAAGGCAGACCTACCCCTCTAACTGGTTGTGATACTGTGAATGCTATCCCTCCCTTTTCAGTGATTAGTCCTGTACCCATCTATCATGCTAAGTTTAGAAGGTAATCCCTTTTACTTGAAGGAGCTATTTGATAGGTCCTGTACAATTCCTGTCAACAGGACTTCTACTCCCAGTATTTTACAGTATAAAAATGAGACAGAGAGATCTGACCAATTCTGGACCTGAGAGAAAGAAATTCTTTCACATCCTTAAAAAAGTAAGAACAATCACTTTACAAAACATCTTATGTCTACTAATAAGGGGCAGTTGGTTTGCATCAATCAACCTCAAGGACACGTATTTTCATATAGGAATCAACAGACCCAGCACTTTCTTCATCTGTTCCAATTTCAAGTCCATTCTTTAGTCTTTCCCCAGATCCTCAGGTATTTACCAAATATATGGCCATAATCTTTGCCCATCTTCAGATTCAAGGCATTCCAGTATACCTATGTCTGGATCATGGAACCATAGAATAGTAGAGTGGGAAGGGCCCAAGGAGGCGATTGTGTCCAACTCCCCGCCAGTGCAGGGCACTAAGAGACACCATCCCTCTCAGATGACTTCTAATTGCATCTTGTATGCCTCCAATGTGGCAGAGTCTACAACCTCCTCAAGTAATTGGCTCCATTGTCATACTGCTCTAACAGTCAGAAAAAATTTCCTGACATCTAGCCAGAATCTGATTTCCTGTAACTTGAGTCCAGTATTCCATGAGCTGCACTCTTCATACTGTGGCCAAAGACCTTCCTTCCAGACTTTGTAAGGTGCAACACATTGCTTGTCAGCAGTCCCATCTGCCAGGAACAGTAGCCCATGGTCCCCGAATCCAAATTTCTCATGTCTGTCAACAGAACCAAAGAACCTTTGAATTCCACCATTTCCCTTGCCTGTCCTAGCCAACATGAACTTTGAAAGGCAGTCTTACAATCAATGAAAATTCTCTAACATATTGATACAATTCTAGATTCTATGAAACCTTGGCTTACCAGCCACTAGACAGGATTCAAACATTACATGTATTTGTAGTGATCATTCATTTCTGGAGGAAGAGCTTAGTGTTCAAAATTAAGAGATTACCCTAATGGTCGCAACAATGTTGGTTATCAGTTTCACCTGTCTCCAGATGGAATTACTTCACAACTGGTTCATTCATTCTTTCAACCCAAATTGAGATGTGTGCCATAACCACCTCCATGTTCCTTCATGGATTCATCATTCCCTTCAATGGTATCAGTCTGTCCTCCAAGAAGGAATTCCATTTGCCCACCCAAAACTATCCTAAACCCTAATCACAGATGCATCTCTTTTAGATGGGGAACCTTTGGCAAATCCCTGATGGTGAGGAGCAGATGGTCCATCTCCAAAAGTGAGACATCTCATCAGTTACTTGAGGCTCCTGGTATTCTGGAAAGCACCAAAAGTGTTGAACCCATACTTTGGAACACTCATTTTCAGTTATTGACAGACAATACCAAGTGGTTTATCACTTAAACAAGGTTGCTCAGAGTCAATTCATCCCTCATGAGATTATCTTTTCAGTTCTTCATATTGCCAGCAAGGGCAATATGCTAGCAAATCTCTTGATCAAGATAAGAAAAGCATTCTACAAGCGGCACCTCAGTGTGGAAGTAGTTTTCAGCTTGTAGGGGACTGCAGATCTGATCATGAGAGAGCAAAATAAAGTCTGCTGAGCTCTCTCGGAGCTCTCCAAGTGATGCTTTCTTTCTTCACTGGCTGGATTATTTTTTTTCCTATCTCTTTTCCCTGTACTCTCCTTTGACGTGGGTACCAACAAAGTTTCAGTTGGACTCCATAAACTACATTCTAATAGCCGCATGGTGGCCATGACAGGCTTGATTCATACCTCCCCTCCAGCAGTCTCAAAGTGCGTACTCCGTACTATCTCAAATCCTGAACCTCTGCACATATGACCAGGGCTGTAATTGACACTAGGACCTTCAAATACTGCAGCTGACTACATGGTGTCTTTGTTAAATTGGGAGTGTCTGTACTTACCAATTAATTCTGGATGCTACCAGACTTCTTACTGTAGAAAATGGTCCATTTTCATTAAGTTTGCCTCTACTGCAGAAGTCGATCCACTTACCTGCTGCATCAGTGATATTATTCAATTTTTCCTCTTCTTGTTGGAGAAATGTTTAAAATTGCCATCTTTCTGGGTTCACCTTGATGTAATTTCTGCTTCCCACAGCCCTCTCCAAGGTCATGCAGTTTTTTTCCCATCCTTTGGCTTGGCCATTTTTTCAGGGAATGCAAAACCTCATTTCTTCTATTCATCTACATACCATCTTAGAGCCTTTCACTACTTTTGAAGGTAGTGACTGTACAGCCAGAACTGCCCTGCTTCTCTTCTCTTGGAAGATTGTATTGCCATTATGTCAGCTTATAGAGGCAGTGAACTATGTGCCCTATAGGTTGATATCCCCTACCTTACCTTTCACAGGGACAAGGAAGTTTTGTGCCCTGACATCTTGTTCATCCCAAAAGTCATTTCCGATTTTCATGTAAATCAGGATATCATTCTTCCTGAATTCTTTGCACATCCTTCTTCATTAGAGACTGCCATGCATGCCCTTGGCATTCAGTGGTCCCTGGCTTTTTATAAGGCTCAAACAAAATGATTTCACTTATCACACTGTCTTTTGCTTGCTATGCAGGGGAAAAGAGGTTTACCAGTCTCCTCACAGCAATTTTGCCATTCATTTGGCTTATCAGCTGGAGAGACTTGAATTGACGGCTCCAATCAGAGGACATCTTACCAGAGGATTTGCCACATCTGTTGCTTTTAGGGGACTCTTTACCTGAATCATGCAGAGTTGTGACCGGGTCACCTCCCTCTACCTTGGCAAAATATTAACGCCTCAGTGCACCATGGCAGCCAGAGCAGATTGCTTTTTCAGTTCTATTTTCCACTCACATCATCATTTTTCTCTGGTAAGCAAACTTGCTACTTGCCCATTGTGTGTGAGGCACAGGCAGCATAAAGAAGAAGTGCAGGTTGCTTAACTGTAACTGTAATTCTGTGCTCATCTTTGCATTCACATGACCCTCCCACCATTCCCACCTTGGTGTCTCTCTTTCTTGAGTATCATATCCAAGATGGAGTTTGTCATTATTCTGTTTTTCTCTCAGCATCAGTGCTCTTCACTGGCACCATAGCTTTACTTCTCTCAGTGCCTAGGCCACAATTAATCAATCTCTATGCAGCTGCTGGAATGTGTAAGAATGGCATGACAAGAATACTGACATGCATTACACAATGGGGCCAGAGATTCTCACCAAAATTTCCACAGCTATAGAAGCTTCCTAAACAAGGCATCATGCAGTCACAAAACCAGTGTGGGTGAAAGCATAGAGGACCACTCAAAGAAATATAGGTACAGGTAAACAACCTGCCTTTTTCTACACTATATTTTGTGCAGTACTACAGACCCACAAGTACATAATACTGTTATATGTGCTGTAGCAGCTATAAAAGGACTGAATCTGATAGTCTATGTTTTAGAATAAAAAGCAGCAGTTCATATATACACATACCCTTCACATTTAATACAGTATAAATATGAATAAATGTATGATTTGATATCTATAGTAGGAGGTGATCCTTCCCAAATGACCTCCTATATTTTATGCAAAAGGAAGAACATAATACGTATTATAACTGGTTACAATTCTTCTTACAGGAGCTAGCTCATGGACTAAATGAACTTCTGTCCTATGAAGGCAATGTTGAAGAAGACTTTTATTCAACCTTCCAGGTATAATTTCATTTACAGTTGGAACATACACTAATCAACAAATGTTGTTATTATTACATTACATTTATACCCTGCCATTCTTCCTCTTGCAAGAAACTTAAGGCAAGTTGAGTTGCCTTGATAAACAGAAGATTATCCTTCTGTTCATTTTATCCTCACAACAACAACCCTGTAAGGTAGGTTAGTCTGAGACTCAGTGACTGGCCCAAAGCTGCCCAGTAAGCTCCATGAAAGAGCAAGGACTAGAACTCAGATCTCCCACGTTACCAGTCCAACACTCTAACCAGTACTACACCACCCTGCTTATCTGATACACTATTAGTTTTTCTTTTCTTTCTTGGTGGATAGTATGGCATGTTATATGTCTGCTCATAGATAGCATATTAATTTATTATAATTCTCAGTTGATTGAGGGACATGACACCCAACCTGGTGACTTGTAACTCTTGTGGGTACTAAACCTCTTTTTCTTCTTCTGCCAGTATTCCTTTTGTGATAGGGTACTGAGAGTCAAGGTTGTGGCAGCAGGTCAGTCTTAAATGGTGTCATATTGAGGCTTTATTCCACAAGTAAAGATTTCCTTCAGTGTTATTACTAAAAAATTACCTGTCATTTAACCACAAGTGCCTAGTAGAAGCAGGATGTCCCTCCTCCCATTGCTCAAACTAGACTGTACTGTTCCAGCAACCCTGGGTGAACTCTTTCTGCCCTGCTGTAGCATAACCACTGGCATAGAGAGGTTTCCACACATAATACAGTCAGATTCTTCTCTGAAGAAGCCAATAGTAAACTTACTAAAAGGTAAATAAGGGGGACTAATTAGCATCTGAATATCTGAAATGGTCAGATGGCTCTGCCAGACCTCACATAATACAAAAGCTTGGAGAAAACTCTCTTCCTAATAAATTTATTAAATGTGAAATTCTATGGCTGATCAGAAAGAAAAAAAAAGTAATACAATTTAAAACATTCCCCAGGGACATTTGCCAGCTGGCAAATAATGGAATCATAGGGACCTTTTCTGTCTAATCATGCACAGGATTGCACCTTAAGGGGATAAAAACCCTTTTGGAGACTGAGTGCAAATGGAACGTAACAGGATGCTTTCTTCTCCTATGAGGACATCCTTTGTTAAAAGGAGAAAAGTACATGCCTCCACTTTGAATCCTGATCCAATTTTTAGATTTGCCTCTGTTCCCTTAATCGAAGTGAACTTTGTCTTCAAAACAATGAATAAAGTCTACATATGTAGACATTTATTCAGTTAAATATGCATTTATCCCCCTTAAAACAAAAAAGTAGAATTAAATTTAAAATGTTGAACATTTTGGAGAGCCAGTGTGGCGTAGTGGTTAAGAGCATGGGACTGGGACTCAGGCAATCTGGGTTCTAGTTCTAGCCATGGAGCCAACTGGGTGACTTTGGGCCAGTCACAGACTCTCAGCCCAACCTACCTCACAGGGTTGTTGTTGTGGGGATAAGATGGAGGAGGAGAATGATGTAAGCTGCCTTTAGCCCTTTGTAGGAAAAAGGCAGGATATAAATCGAAAAATAAATCAATAAATCAATTTTTCTGAGGGTAGTGAAGTCACTATTTACTGTCAGCAATGTTCTGCATAACCAGTTTCTGCTATAACTAGATATGACCACTTTGGTATGAACTTGGTCTGGCAGTGACGGTATACCTGAATAAAACTGGTGATGTGTTTTCACAGCAAGCTTACCATTAAAATTATATACTTCTGTATGTAACCATGATCCCAAGTTTCAAAAGCTCTTGGGCTACTGATGGTTTGCTCCTCAGATCACAGGATTGTTGTTTAAAAGGCAAGACAGTCTCTAAGTAATTAATGATAGTCTAGACAGTGATGGCAAACCTTTTAGAGACTGAGTGCCCAAACTGCAACCCAAAACCCACTTATTTATTGCAAAGTGCCAACACCGCAATAAAACCTGAAAACTGAGGTTTTAGTTTAGAAAAAACAACTAACAGCCAGTGTGAGCAAATGTATATATATTTGCCAGGCAGTGCACTGACCAACCATGCAAAAGCTCGGACGAGTTATGGCTAATAAGTCATTGCTTGTGACATCATCACCTGGTGCTGCTACTCCTTTCCAAGCATGCGCATGGCCCCTATGTGCTCTGTTATCCGATGCTCAGCTGCTGGGCGATGCTGACACAACTTAGCTCATGTGCCAAGAGAGAGGGCTCTGCGTGACCACTGTGGCATGCATGCCATAGGTTTGCCACCACTGACCTAACCCTACCCTGGTGCACACCCCTAACCCTAATATAGAGCGAATGTTCCATTGAAAAGAGGGTGATTTTGAAAAGGCCTTCTTTGACTAGCTTTTTCTGCGCAGCTCAACATTTCTGCCCATTCTAAACACATTCCAACCATCAAAATCATTCCAGGACACCTCATTTTCTAACCCTAACCCAGTGATGGTTAGCCTTTTACAGACTGACTTCCCAAACTTCAACCCAAAATCCACTTATTCATCACAAAGTGCCAACACTAGAATAGAACTTAAAAACTGAGGTTTTAGTTTAGAAAAAACAGCTCATAGCCAGTCCATGCAAATACATATATAAATCCTTGGCAGCTCACTGACTGAACATGCGAATGCTCGGATGAGTCACGGCTAATGAGTCATGGCTTGTGACATCATTGCCTGGCGCTGCTACTCCTTTGGGAGCATGCGCACGGCCCCTATGTGTGCTGCTATCCAATGCTCGGCTGCTGGGGCGATGCTGGGGTGACTTGGCTTGCATGCCCACAGAGAGGGCTCTGCATGACAGCTGTGGCATGCGTGCCATAGGTTCGCCACCACTGGTCTAGGATATACAAGGTTAAGAAAGGTTGTAGGTGGCCAGCTCAGCTTACTGCTGCAAACAGCACTAAAAGTAAAAGCATATCACGATCAATGTGGTCAGCAGTATTAGTAGGGAAGTCTTTTTTGAGCATGAGGATCAAATATGAGATTCCAGGTGAGCCACATTCAGTAGTCATAACCTATATAGAAAATGAAAGGAGAAAAAGATGGGTATAGTAAATGAAAAATCAATTTAAACATATGGGCAAATTGACTCCTCAGCTTCTATTCCAGCTTAAGGGACAGACAACACAGCAACAAAACAATTGCATATCCAAACAGTACATTTAGTTTAACTACTAAAAATGTATGTAATGGTTAAGTATCATATGATATGACTGGTTGTAGTCTCAGAAAAGAATTTCAAATGACAGTTATATGTATGTATGCATTTATTGCATCCTCAAGGAACTCAAGGGGATGTACATGGTATTTTCTTTCCTGTTTTATCTCACCAGTGCTATGAGGTAGATTGGGCTGAAGATACTGACTGGCTGAAAGACATCCACTGTGTTCCACAGCTAACTCCTAGTTTCTCAATCCTAGTCCAATATGCTAACCATTACAATACACTAGTGTTTTCCTTTTTCATTAGGTTTTTCAAGAAGAATTTGGATTGATAAAATGCTACAATCTAAAGCCCAGTGGTGATAAAATTCCAGTTACAAATCAAAATAGAAAAGGTAAGTTGACTGCATGATGAAATTTGCAGATTTTGAGAAGTGTTTTTAATTAGTTGAGCTGGTTTGTAGTATCTCGTAGTAATATAGAAATTCTTAAGGGTACCATCATATGCATATTTAAACACAAAAAAAGTCTACAAATCCCAGAGTTTCCCAAACAGTATGATTGCCTGGATGCAGGATGTTGTAGGGTTTCTGTTAAACATAGGCTTGCAGCCTAAATATTCAATTGTTGTATAGTTTAAAAATTCCATGCTGTAAACAGCAATACCCAATGTGACAAAACAAAATAAAAACTATTTTCTTTTCAGAGTATGTGCAGCTGTATGTAGACTTCCTTCTCAATAAATCAATCTATAAACAATTTGCAGCCTTTTATTATGGATTTCACAGTGTCTGCGCTTCTTATGCATTAATGGTAAGAATAAATATTGACAATTCTTTGAAAAGTTTATTTGACAAAGAAGGTTGAAAAATTTCATAGGTATTGGACATTGGGCTTATGCTTATGACATGCACAGGGATCGTGCATGAATAATACAGTAGATGTTACAATCTGGTGCAGACTTACAATCCTATTTGAAAAACTCTGTGCCTTCAAAAGAAACAAGTAGGGATGATAGGATGCGTAATGTTACTGATGAATGACTAATCAATAGCAACAGTACATCAGAGTCTGTATATGTGCATAAGAGATTTTGTGGGCTCACTAGGCACTCTCTGCCTGGATTTGCATGATCACTATGGGTCACTGTGTCTTATTTTAACTATGGAAAGTTGTCATGCAGGTAGGTAGCCACTTTGAATATTCAGTCCTTTGTAGAAGGTTGCCATGTCATCCAAACCAAAATGGGACAGATTCTTTGAAAGTTAAGCAATCCTTAAATAACCCATGATTGTAGTTACGTTAGGGTTGTTTATCTCTCAAACATTTCCTTCCAGATTACACAACAAGCCATGGCAGCCACCACTAGGGAATGAATATTTGAAATAGGTACCCACTTGCACCACAACCCACCATGGCTTAAATAAGCTACACTGGGCTGCAGTGATTGTGCAAGCTGGCCCCTTTTTCCACATCAGCAGACTTTTTTCTCCCTACCTCTAAAGCATGGGTCCTCAAACTATGGCCCACGGGCTGGATTCAGCCCGCCATGCCCATTTATCCGGCCTGACTCAGAGATTTTGGACTTGCTCGGAGAAAACAATCTCCAAGCAAGTCCAAAACCTCTGAGCCGGCACAGGCATTCTCTAACAGAGAACCGGCGCACGAGCCTAATTGTAAAACCGCATGCGCCAGCTAACCCCCCCTCCCCAGGTTGCATGCATATACAGAGTGGGAATATGGAGCAGGAAACAGAAGAGAAGAGGGCGGGAGAGAGAGAGACGAAGATGCTTAAAAAGGATTGAAGGTAAGAAAACTTACCTTATAACTTTTAAAATCCATTTTCAAGTATATGAACCACTTCTCTGGGGGCACGGGAGCCACACTCTTCAGTGGGCAAACCGCCACTGCCACCGTTGAGTGGCTGCCCCTGGGCTTGGCGAGGCAGCTGTGGCTTGCCCATTGAAAGGCGCAGGAGCTATGCCCTTCAATGGGGAGCCATGCCACCGCCACCATCGAGTGGCTGCCTCCGGGCTTGGTGAGGCAGCCGTGGCTTGTAGCGGAAGTGTGGGAGCCACACCTTTCCATGGGCAAGCCACCACCGCCATCGAGCGGCTGCCCCTGGGCTCAGCGAGGCAGCCGTGGCTTACCCAGAGAAGGCTCTTCTCCACTTCATCTTGGGCTTCTGCTGCAGCCCAAGGGAGTGGAGCAAACATTTTTAAATTATTTTTAATGTATATTAATTTTAATTAATTTTTAATGTGCAGTGTGCATCGGAATTTGTTCATATTTTTTTCAAACTGTAGTCTGCCCCCGCAACAGTCTGAGGGACAGTGAACTGGCCCTCTGTTGAAAAAGTTTGAGGACCCCTGCTCTAAAGTGTAGGTCAGCCATTTGCTTAGCGAAAAGGATGGATAAACCCATAAGTAGAAGGTTTAGCTTAGTGCATTTGCCTGGTGCTTCAGAGGTTGAAAAAGTATAGGCACCACTTCTGGGCATGTACTTGGCCTACCTAAGAACAATATGATTTCGCAAAAGATGTAAGTGTCTAATTCATTTTGGTTTAGTACATGTGTAATAGTGCTTTTTAAAAACAAACTCCATAGAAGACAGTGTGGACTGTTCAGTTCAGATATAGGAAACCCAGGCTAAATGCTGCTCTAAACTCTTGGAAAATGGTATGTGGTACGTTGTACAAACTAATGACATTTAAATTTAGGCCCTTTTTGTAACCATGTTTTTTCCCCTTTTAATACTTTAGTAATACTATATGTTCATATTCACAGTCTAATCTACAGCAGTCATTCTGGATTTGAATACTACATAACTGTAAGGTGAACTAATTAGTTTAAAACCAGTACTTCCTGATTTGTCTGATCTAGTTTTTCATGATTTGACAGCTGCTTCGTCCTGAAGAGGTTGAAATTCTAGTTTGTGGAAGTCCTGAATTGGATATGCATGCTCTCCAGAGGCACACACAATATGATGGGTATCAGAAAACCGATCTTACTGTCCGGTAGACATTTTTCCTTGATTTTTAATGCTAATTTATATTGAAATGCATTAGGAACTAATTTTGAGTGGACCCTAACAGTGGATTTTATGCATGTTACAGATATTTCTGGGAAGTAGTACTTGAATTTCCCCTTGAGCTTCAAAAGAAGCTCCTGCATTTTACTACAGGAAGTGACAGAGTACCTGTAGGAGGAATGGCTGACTTAAATTTCAAGATTTCAAAGAGTGAAGCATCAACAAACTGGTACATATTTATTGTTTCCATTCTTATTAGTCTAACTCCAAATAAATTCTATCAGTGCTTCCTAATACTGATTTCATCTACTTTGCATAAAAATGCAACCTGAATTCATTTATAATAAATATTTAACATGGTTCAGCTTGACATGTTTAAAAATATTATAAACAAACATTTTGCAATCAATTTAACACATGTAAATTTACAGTTGATCAGTGTTAAATTTTAGGCTGGTTGCATAATTAGATTCATCCACCTGAATTATAAGGAAGTCTAAACACTGTCAAGTTGAAACCACAAATGATAGAAAGTGCATGCCTTTCATTGTTGATAAGAACATAGATGATGCTTTAGATCCTTTTATGTAATTGCTAAAAATTTGTTGTTCAGAACATGGTACACCACTTGCCAGGAAAGCTGCTTTGTAGGCCTGGTATATGACTAGCATATTTGGGACTCTAAAATGAGAGACCCCCAAATAAGGATTTCTCAAGGACAAACCATCTTGAGATGAGGCAGATCTAGCAACATTTTTTCTAGCAACAATACAGCAATAATTTATGAAGATTAGTAACAAATATTATGGATCTTTGTTCAATGGAATAAATGAGAAACTAGTATTGAGAAGGAAAATGGCTATATACCCTATAATGATATTCCATTCCAGTACTGAACTCCAGTTTCTGAACTAGACTGTACCTGCTTTTTCCCTGTGTGGCATTAGAAAAGTAGCTTTAAAAAGATCTCTACATTTTTAGGTTTGCAGCCATTTTTAGAAAATGGTCTATAGTAGCCATTAAAGTCGATTGTTAGGAAATCCAGAAAAATGGAAATATATGGTGAGAATTGACCTGCTTTAAAAATCAACATGCGGCACATTCAGATCAGGAACATCCCTAATAAGCAGGGATAGATTCCTAAAAGGTTTGGACATTCTTCTTATGATATTGTGGGTTTTGCATTCATTTTTTCTGGTAAATACAATCTATTTATTAACCTAAGAATATATAACTGTCTTTGAAATTTTCTTTCCTAATATATGTCAGCTTCATATAAGAAAGTGATGTTTTGGTTATGTTGAACTTCCAGTATGACTAGAGAGTGAGGAGTGACTGTTCTTTTCTCAGAGGGGAAGGTATTATTTGGAACCATTCTTGCCACTCTAGATTGCCTAGGCCACAGATAAGAGGCCTAGGTCAGCTTGGTCAAGAGTATCTAACTGAATGACCACCAGTTGCCAAGACATAGTCCATATTTCTGCCTACTTTCCATACCCGGTTCACTGCTAAGGTTGGCTGACATTGTGCTAGCTCTTTTGTGTTCCACCACTGAGTCAATCCATCATAAGGATCCATCATAATCTTCATTTAGTCCCAGGCATCAGGTGAGTAAAACTAAAATGGTGGTGAATGGCTAAAAATAATACTTATACAACTCATAAGTTATATAAGCTATCCGAGCACAGAAATTCAAGTTCCAGGTGCATGGAGTCCTCTCTGCACGGAATACTGCTCTGTTAATTCCAGTGGAGACAGAAAGTATGTGTCAGTTTATTTGAGCAAAATTACTCCTTTGTTGAAATGGATGGAATCCACCTCATTCTCAACACGGCATACATATTTCCATACAAGGAATTGCAGCAGTGCTTAGACTGAATTAAATTCATTATTTTCATTACAATTGTTTTTATTAAAATGCTTTTATAATATTTATAGGTTACCTGTGGCCCACACGTGCTTCAATCAGCTCTGCTTGCCTCCTTACAAGACTAAAAAGGAACTGAAGCAAAAGTTAACAATTGGAATTTCAAATGCAGAAGGCTTTGGTTTAGAATAAGACTTGAAAAGGATAACAGATGTAGCACTTGTTTTTCTCTGATTGTGCCTTTAAATCTTTTGATGTTTCTGAGTAGTATCCAATTAATTCTGTGTAGAATAGACGCATTTAAATATATGGAACTTAAGTGGTTCATGAGGTCTCCGATATGGCAATGGGTCTACTGGAATAACAGTGGATACTGCTCTCTGTCTCAGTACTCTCCTAGAACTGTGTGGAACGTTTGTTTTTTTAAAAAGAAACAGTGCACTCATTTTTTTCTGTATAGAAATATATACATACTCTTCCTTACAGAAGTGTTGTACAATATTAATAATATTTACAATACTTGATAGAGGAAAGTTGCCAAGGCTGTCAAATTTGAGTTTCTATATAATTTGCCTAGTCTAGTAGAAGGGAATTGCCTCCATTCCACTCAGCAGGGCCAGCTTGTTGCATCAGGTTGCTCAAGCTATGGGCAAGAGGTACAGAAGACTTTACTGTTGAATATAATTTATTTAGCTCATGCATATTTCCTAGGAAGTGCAACATATAAATAGATTTCTTGATTAGTTAAGCCCAATCTTCAGTCAGCATACACTATGGCAAAACGTATAATTGCTATAACCCTGAGGCATGTGGCTGCTTTAACAAGTTGAGGCAAATGAGAGTTTTAAGGCATATGACCTATTCTGTTCATTCTCAGAAATGTACTGTTGATATAAAAGCATGTAAATAACTGCCTGTAGGCCAACACAATTTTGATAGTGCCATTTACAACTAAAGATTTATTTTTACAAAGTATAGGGTTTCAGATCTTATATATACAGCTTTTACAGATGAACAGATTTGATTGTACAGAAATGTAAAAGCTGATATTTTAAATTACGTAAATTTATGGACCAACTTTAAGTATTAAAATGTTTGCATGCTTATGATATTCAACTTGCAGTAAATTAGGCAGTTTGACTGTTGTACTTTTGTAATTGTTATTTAAAGAGGGAAATGTTATATTTAACAATAAATTGGGTTTATTTGACGGAAAGCAAGTCATCTTTCAGCACAATAAGAGCTGTAATTTTGTCATTTTAAAATTATGCATCCTTTAATTAGGAGCCTCATGCTGTAAATCTTTTACACAAAGTTTAAAATAAATTGAGCAAATGTTTATACAAAAGTGAATGTAATAAAACTATATCAGATGTTCCAGCTTTTACTTAGTCCCAAAAAATGTGATGGCCAGTAGCCCAAATATTTATTTATTTACTTATTTATTTTTCGATTTATATCCTGCCTTTTTCCTACAAAGGGCTCAAGGCAGCTTACATCTCCTCCTCCATCTTATCCCCACAACAGCCCTGTGAGGTAGGTTGGGCTGAGAGTCTGTGACTGGCCCAAAGTCACCCAGTTGGCTCCATGGCTAGAACTAGAACCCAGATCGCCTGAGTCCCAGTCCCATGCTCTTAACCACTACGCCACACTGGCTCTCATATCTCTGTGGATTTAGCCCAATTCTGTTGTTTGCCTTCACACATGTAGGGGGACCATGGGTGGGCACAGAAACCCCCTTCCCAGCACACCCACACACCAAGGTTGCCTGGAGACCTTCAGGTGTTGAATGCAAAGGTCTGTGTAGAGCTGTGTAAGTATGTTCAGCTGAACTGACCTATAGAATTTCTGTGATTGCAAACTCGGTTTTATCAGTATTTCTGATCACAGAATCTCTGTAAGTGCATTTCGGAGAACGTGCTCTCAAAATTCTAGACAGTGTGCTAAGTTCTATATGGAAGCTGGGGTACATGGGAGGGGGCTTCTCTGCATGCCCATGCCCTGTAAAGAGTGTGTAGCCCTATATGAAAACAGACAGGTACCTTTCTATTTAATCAATTTTTAAGCCATCAGCCATGGAAATTATACAGAACCTTCATCTTTATAGATAGCACCATAACTGTAGTTACTACCTGTTGGTGGCAAACATGGACAAGATACTGCCTTCAGGTGGTTCATTGGTTGGAGGTATCTTAATAATAACTATTGAAAACAGAATGGGTTGATGCTGTGGTCCAGATATATGGGGATTTTGCACATGCAGTGTGCCTCAGTGATTGCTGTAGTAGGAAGGAAGGCACTGCGTGAACTATAAAAACATGGTGGCAATCTACAATGTGATCCATGGAAAACTCATTCAGTAGCACTACATAAGCTATTTTTTCCACTATCATCCCTACTTTCAATAAACAAAGTGCAACTCTTCCTCTCTCACAAGCAAGTATAGATTTCTATGGGCACAGTTAGTTTGGCACATAGGAAAGGTATTTGAAAGGAATTAACTTATAGGCCACATATCAATTTTCTAATGTGGGTGGGCAGGTAGGAATATTGACTCCCAGGCTGCCTGGTAGCCCAATAAAGTCACAGTCTGTGGGACTGCTTTCAGCTATAGCTCCTCCTCAACGTTCCTGGCTCCCTTCCAGCATCTAATTAAAAGTCAATATATGTTGATTTTAGTTTTGGTCGTTCACTCCCTTGGCAAGAGCAAAGCGCTAAGAACTGAAAGGGAATGCAAATGCAAGATACATAGAAGGTAGTATCAACAATTTATGACAGTTCGAGAAGGAGAGACCTCTCTCCAGGAAAAACATTACGAGTCTATACTCTGGAGCAGAACAGAAGCATTCACTAAAATAAAGTTATAGTCAAGCCCCATTGCATTTTTTTCTAAATATCTCTTAATTCAGAATTATTATTACATTTATATTCCACCTATTTTGTTTTTGCAAGTAACCCAAGAGAGCTTAAATAATTCTCCTGTCCATTTTCTCTGAACAGTTTGCCAACTGACAGCTCCAGAGCAGTGCCTTGAGCGAGCAGGTTAAGGAAACAAACAACTTTTCTACCGAGGGCAATTGTTGCACACTTGTCATTCCCTATTCACAGTTATTTACAAAATTTTTAGATGATATACCCTTCCAATTATGCTTCTATTTCAAAACCATTCTAGGTGGATTTTTATTAAAGTAGGAACAATGCAGTATTATTTGTGAAAATGAAAAAAAAAATGCTATTCCACTGTGCTACAGTGTCATCTAGAAGTTAAATTGCAGAAAGGCAGAGAAGGAAATGCTCTTTGTATAGTGCTTAGATCTCAGTTCTGTGACAAAATGGAAAGTAGTTGCATCAGATTAACAACC